TAGTCCCCGCACAGGTCGGCGGCCGCCTGGCCAGCCACCTCACCAAGGTTCTCCACCTGCAATGTAAAAAAAAAAAGCTTCAGATACAGAAGCATTTCCACATAGAACAATCTACCAACAGATCTACAACATTTCAGGGCATGTACAGAGGGTAGTTTCAAATCCGTGGAAAAGTAACGTGGCGAAATCAATGTATCTAAAGAGCAAATTAATGTATCATAAGCAGTCCCTCTTCGAATTCATGTTGTACAGCAGTGTAATGTTGTCGTTTTTATACGACTGTGTAGTATTTATGTTTACCAAAGGAAAACATCTTGTTTTTGCTACGTTTCTTCTTCTTCTTCTTCCGTTCCAAACACTGACCTATGACCTGGCCAATGACCAATGACACTGACCTATGACCTGGCCAATGACCTGTTCACGACTGTGTAGTATTATGTTTACCAAAGGAAAACATCTTGTTTTTGCTACGTTTCTTCTTCTTTTTCTTCCGTTCCAAACACTGACCTATGACCTGGCCAGTGACCTGATTTGTTGACGTCTCTCACCATAGTAACTGGTGTAGGGTTACATCATGTTGCAATTTTATAGTAGGGGAGATATGTACTCCTTTCCATCCATATATATGAATGTGTTTGAGTAAGAATTAACAGAGCAGACCATATGCGAAGGTAAACATCATGCATTTGCTTTGCTAATGTTACCTTTCTAGTTCAATTTTGTAACGTTATGTGTTTTGGAATCCAGGAAGAATATAGTTGCTTTTGCTGCGCTTTTGCAACTAAGGCCACAGCAAGTAATTTTTATGGATGACATCAGCGCGCGCATTAATTTTTGCCTGACTTTGGGAAAAAAACAAGAAATTTTGTTGCCTTCTGACAGTGGTCAACATGCCGAAAATGGGCAAAGATGTCTGTTGCCATGCCGGAAGGTGGATGGCAGATAACATCAAGAGAGGAGACAAGAAAAGGCTCTGATTTAATGTTTTGATGCAGTGATATGAGATGCTGGTTGTGTATATGTGATGTTCCCACTGAATCAAAACCATTTGAACAATGATTGAGTCAAAATTTTAAAATGTAGGAACATTGTTTTTTTCGGCCCGTCTTGTTTTTTTTCGCCCGCTCGCATTAGATTTGGAGTCTGCGTAGGATGTCATCCATAAAATTTACTTGCTGTGGCCTAATGGAGATCCTGATAAAGTATGAAGTACCTGTGCGCCGGTACTGATCATCAGAACGGGCCGCTGCCCCGCGTCCTCTACTGCGCTGATATAAGCCTCTTCTTCTGCCTGGGTCAGGACCTGGAGAGAACAAGAGGTTTATTGAGGTTTATTGAGGAAAAGCCCTCCTTTAGCTGCCCACCCGAGGGTGGCAGCTATTCTTCCTGGAGAGGGAACATATATATAAGACATAACAATACATCACATACAATTACATAATTTACATTACATAGTATTTTAAAAGAACAAAAGTGTGTAACATCGTATGTGCTCTACTTATTCATGTCCCTCATGTGTTTTAGTAGGCCTTGTTTGAACTTCTCATGTGATGCCACTGTTTGCAGCCCATGTGGTAGAGTTCCATGCTGCAGTAGTTCTGTATGTGAAGGCTTTTTTTAGTAAGAATAAAGTTAAGATAAAGTCACGTGCGTGAACGAAAAGTATGACATAAAAGACAACAAAATACGAAGAAATGAAAGTCATCATGAGCATTATTATCAGTGTACATTTTTGGTATGAATTCGAAATGTGTTCCTAACATCACAGTTCACCCGTGATGAAACGTCATAATGGTTGAAACCAGCACAAAAGATGCAAAAGCCGGAAGTTCTGCTTCAGTACCAAGGGCAGTCACTAGGTGTCCCCCTCCATTTGACCTTGACCTTTGTCTTCCCAAAAGCTACTAAAATACCAAATATGATTCCAATCCATCCTTCTTTATAGCTATTTTATAAGATATACTGACCATAAGTATGCCGAAACGTGACCGACAGACAGACACACAGACCAAAAACAAGACCTTCATTTTCATGGAGGAAAAACTGTTCCAGGGCTGGAAATACTGGGTGCATGTGCACCTTAGTGCACCCAAGTTTATTTAGAGCTGTGCGCCCAGTGTTTTTTCTGTGGGTGCATTTTTGTAGGTTTACGTATGTACTTACTACTTGTACTTGTACGTATGTAAGGATGTTAAATGTATACAGCATATTCTTAACATCTAAAAGTGTCAGAGAAATGATAAAATCATTGTTAATATTAATAGTACTTTTCTTAATTAAGAAACGAAACATAATTCATTTTATCTTTTATGGTGCGCCCACAAAAAAAAATTGTGCACCCAATTTTCTAGGTTGGGGGCACCAGTGCACCAAAAAATGAATTTCGAGCCCTGTGTTCTATCTGTATAGCTGTAATGTTACGATATTTACCTTGATTTTGAACTGCTTGGCCTGTTGCGCGTTGGCTGGGAGGATGCTGTCATCCAGGCGGCTGATCATGCAGACTTCCTGCGTCATGTCCTTGTACACGGCAACACCCTGGGACAGATATGAAGAGTGGGTTTAGATACACAAGAAACTGTTACTCAAACGACTGGATAGATTTTAAAAGCTGTCAACTTGACATCCAATACTTCGTTAGTGACTAACGGAATCTGTAGTTGGGCATGTATTTTTTCAACAACTATGTATTGACAAGAAGGTTTCGACTTCTTGGTATTGATAAATGGTAAATGATGTGAAGACAGATTTTAGATATCATAAAAAAAGACAAAGCTAAGACAAGGTGAACTAGAAATTTAACATTTGCAAGCAAATGCAATATGTTTACCTCAGGATGGTCTTGCCTAACGGGCCCGTTACCATTTATGCCCATACATAGTATTTGAAAATCCCGTAGCACTGGGGTCATTGACCCTCGGTCGTCGAACTCCGAATTCGAACGTTGCTCTAAAATTCGAAACGAGTTCTAAAGTTCGATTTTTGGCTTCAAATGCAACTTTTTTCACCCATTTTTTGCCAATAAAATCATTTTTTACGTCTATGTTGGCCCAAATGACCAAAGTTCAGTGTCGTATTTACCAACCTACAAGCATACTGAATTTTATTTTCGTTCAGGCTCTAATTACGAAAATATCGATGGTTTTATAAGGTGTTTGGAACGGAAGAAGAAACTGAGCAAAAACAATGGCCTGCTTTATTAAGTCGACCAGTGGGGTGCCGATTCTCATAGCTTTGCGTGTGTAAACGGGCGAAGTCGACTTGAGCGTCTCTGCGCAGTAGTCAGGCAAGACCGAGCCACCGAGTCGACTTGGGGGGAGGGTGGCACAGCGGGAGTGCCAAGTCGCTTTGTGGCCCCGTGTGTGAACAGAAATTTTTCAAGTCGACTTCGCCGAGTTAACTTAGAAATGGTGTGTGTAAAGCAGGCCTTAGTCTGGTGTGGATACGACTCAAGTCATCTTTATTAGAATGCGACTTGAGTTGAATTATTTCTCTTTACACATTGAAATTTTCGCTCAAGTCGACTAGCTCAAGTCGTCTTGACTTCTAGTCGACTTGAAAATGTTATGTCTAAAGCAGGCCAATATGTTTTCTTTCGGTAAACATAATGATAATGAGTCAGACGGCTCCTGTTGTTTGAGTACGGGGGCTAAATGGAGTGGCCCTGGAGTGGCAGGGCAGGGTGTCACGGGTTTAGTTGGTTACGTACGCTTTGGCATGGCTTTGTGATACTGATAGTCTATCAACAGGAATGCCTGTTTTCAGTATCCCGAATGCGTATTGGTGAAGAAACATTTGGGATGGCAGCTGTATTTCTTGGAAAGCGTTTACTTGTGGGGAAATAGGACAAACAATAAGTTATTTATTACCAAGTTCGGTTGTTTTGAAATATGAAAGCTTGGTCCAAGATACTATACATGTTTTCAGGCAACGCTCTGAGAAAGATAACCCACCACTGCTGTGAGTGTGAGTCATGCTGCCGTTAAACTCTTCACACAGATGCTACGAGAAGATCATCCCCTACATGACCTTGTCCCTCTCTCAAGATCAACAGCTACCGGTCGTTCACTCAGGAACAAAAACACTATCTCTATCCCCCCCCCCGGCCAGAACAAAAAGACTACAGAACTCTTTCCTTCACCTGTCAATCAGACTCTATAACCAGACTGTACAGATAGAGTCTGGCACAAGATAATGGACCTTGTAAATATCTGGGTTGTACACCTACTGTACCGTACTTTTTATAGTTGTTGTAACAGTTAAATATATAATATTTGTGACATTTTATCTTGTAAGTATCAACGCCATTCAGGCAACATTGTGTGTCATGTTTGTCTGTTATGTTTGGTATGCTAATAAAGAATTGAATGAATTCAGGCCTTTTTTCCTTCATAAAAGTTGTTGCCGGCAGAAAAGGCACCGTGGCCACGTCAAACCCCGCGCATGTCAACACCCGCGCTGACGTTTCGGCGCGTCCCTAAATACACGCACTCCTGCGTCAATGCCCGGCCTGGGTTCACTCGCGGCTGGGAGTCTGCCAAGTCCGAGCAGCTGGGACGCATCGAGGTAAAGAGAGAGTAACGAGGGTTCTATACAGCTGTGTGCTGGAGCGTTTGGGTGTGGGGCGAGGCCATTGCTCAGAAGTTTTTCCTTCTTGACGCTGCGATTTCTATTTTTTCTAAACAGAATGGCAGTAATTTTTGCTTCCCCTTTATGCTGTAGCTCCTCTGTCACGGCATTTTACTATGACAGATCTTCCGTATAGCTTTAACTAAGGCGTCACAATGCAACGGTCTCCTTCAGTCAATACTGACCAAGGTAAAATCCTAATCGATATCAGCCCCACAGCTTCGGCTATGGCTGAAAAGTCCTACACGAGAATGACAGTATCTGCCACTTAGGGCACATCTGTAAAGCCTTGGTCACAACCCGCCGTACGTGCTTTTTGTCCTTACGTTTTTTTGGGGGGTAGGCTACGTCTGCTACGTTTTTTCTGAAAACTTGGGAAGTAGTGGCGTCGACGCACGTCGATCACTCGCACGGTTGCGCAAGGTGTAAGATTGTGATCTGCACGTCATGTCTGGCCGTGAGCGGTTGCGTGCATCGTTCGTTGCGCAAGTGGTACGTGAGTTGTACGTGCTTACAACGTACGATCTCTGTGCGATTGCAACTTAACCGTAAGGAGGTCGTACTCACACGTGCTTCGTACGTAAGGCACGTACGGGGCACGCGCGTCGCCCGTACTCGCACGCACGGGTGATGAATCCGCAGACCGCACGCAGAAAAAGTTTTCCATGCAATTAAAGTTCTACGGCGTGTCTGCGTGCTCCCAAATCCGTAGGGTTCCGTACGGAGGCGGTACTCACCACGCGCGGATGCCCTGCGTTTGCCCACGTTTTTGCACGTAGACAGCACGCAGAAGCACGTACGGCGGGTTGTGACCAACGCTTTAAGGCGGCACAACACAGTTTTAGCCCTATGGGGATTTCTATAGTTAAGGACCCCAAAGTGACTCACTTCGACTCACGGAAAATCATACTAGGGTGCACAAGCAAGGTTCAGATTTTTGATATGTTTAATTTCAGGGTATAGTGTACAACATATGCGAAAAATGAGCTTAAATTTGCCGGCTAGTTTTCTTCTCATGCCCTCTTTTATTTAGCGCCACTGCGGAGGTCATGGAACTGCAGCCGACGCACAGTACTAGGCGGGACAAGTATCCAAGCGCAGATCTACGCCGACTGAACACGCACCATAATTCAACTTGTACAGTCTCAAAACTGACGTATTCCTCTAACATTTACCACAGGTTCTATCTCGATACCATGCTCAGAACAATCTCTGCACCCTTCTCTAGTATTGTGCAGCACTACTTTGTGCCCGGACTACTTTTGAACTACGGGGTTCGCCCATAAATACTGTGTTGTGCGGCCTTAAGCTGACTCAGGTCTGTTGCAGAGTTCTTCTCTTTGGATCCGCCTCACTGCAGCGCTTGTAAATATAATACGTCTGAATTAATTTTGTTCGATTAGAAGGACAGTCGTAGTTCCCGTATACTTACTTCTGTAAACTAAAATGACCACCAAAAATGGAAAGGAATCTGGCCGGGCTTACCCGCTTTGCGTCCATCAGAGCAGTCACGTGATCTGTCAGGTCATCCTCCGTGACCTCGAACGCCTCCACCTGATTGATGACGTCAACGTAGAACAGTCCCTCCTGAGGGGCGACTTCGTCCTGTCAGTCAGAGGGAGAACAGAATAAGAAGTCTGCTTTTACAGTACAGTACTTGTAAAAAGTGACGGGGGCTGGATAAACAACATTTGAGGTGGGGAAATTTCATACTGCCTTCCATACTCACTCACTCACTCACTCACTCACTCACTCACTCACTCACTCACTCACTCACTCACTCACTCACTCACTCACCCACTCACTCACTCACTCACTCACTCACTCACTCACACTGAGACAGATACACACGCAACCACACACACACACACACACACACACACACACACACACACACACACACACACACACACACACACACACACACACACACACACACACACACACACACACAAACACACACACACACACACACACACACCTACTAGTTTAACAAGTTCATTAACCAGTGGTAGCGGCATTTAGCGATAGACTTACCACAGCTCGCCTGACCCTGCCGTCCATGCCGTCAGGAGCCGGGTACTCGGGGAAGGGTCGGGGCAGGTAGGGCGGCGGCAGCCACGGCTTCGGGTACGGGCGGCCGGGTAACACGTACGCCTGGAAAAGGACAACAGCCGGAAGGCCTTAGTACTAAGTAAATCACTTTTCTGTAGGTTTCTCCTGCATGTATTTTAGACTGAAGCTGGCGTGTAACACCGAAGACCAGCACGATTCAAAATAAAGCACCTGTTACCAAGATAACCGTCTAAGCTAGACTAGCCTCTTTCAGGCTTCAGAAGCGACTGGAAAGAGAAGAAATTGGCTAAAGTAGCGACAAACTGTACTCATTTAGTGGACCAACTCCCCTGGCATGTTACTCGTATCTATTGGCTATCTTCTACTCTTTCTACCTGCTTCGGAAGGCTGGTAGAGGTTAGTCTAAACCGATAGCGAAGACAACCTACCTGAGCAGATACACTGCAGATCACAAGAAGGGAAACAGTTGCGAGCAGACCCATGCTGATTTCAGCGCCTCCGGTGTTCTCTGTAAAACAGGGTTAATCATTTTTGATACCGACTTTAACTTAAGGTAAAACTGGGCATGTGGCCGAGGATAAAGACCATCCTTTTAACTTTAGCTCTCGTCTTTTTTAAAAGCCTACCTGGCTAATTCTTATAGTTCACAGCAGAGAAAACGTCTTGTAGCTCAAACCACACGGTACAATAAGCCCATAGCATCAAAGACCACTTGATTAAACTAAAGAAAATTGAGAAAAGTGCCATAGTATCTCTGTTCACTGTAGTCTCAGAGTAAGAAACGAGTCTGACATTTAACTAGGGCATTAAGTAAAGCAAGGAGGCAAGGTTTATAAAGCGATATGTAACGTTAAACTTAAATTAGATGTTACAGAAAACCCGACAATTCAAGCAAAATTAAGTGTATAAGACATACCACTGGCAGCTGTAGTGTCCGTCCAAGTTCTGGATACAGATCTGGAATGCAGCAGTACCTGGTACACGACGTCCTTTATATCCCTGTTATTATTCTCCGGGGCTCCTGTTATTATTCACCAGCTCGCCCACAGCTGGAAAACCCCCCTGACGTATCACCAGGGAAGTTTACTAACGCGGGAACCGCTACGTGACGTCAGGATGCTGACTCAGGCAGAAACATGGCCTCCCTCTTCCGTGATGAGAGCCGGAAGTTGGGTTGTACTCTCCAAGCAGAGGTTGTGGGGGAATGATCGTTACCTTTTTATATATGGCCGTTTTTTTTTGTTCTGATCCCCACCGTCGGTGGCCGCGGAGCTTCTCTGGTTAATGGATACTGCGGCCTGGCCAATTTGATACTCTCTTTTTGCCACGGAGAGGGATTTGCTTGGAGATTATTGGGTTGGGGGAAGTTTGATGAGGGCCTGCAAGGGGGGGGGGTCCCGACAATGCTCTACGCCGGAAACTTCTCGATTCTCGATAAATTCCAAGTGGCTACAACGCATTACGTAGAATCAAAACGCCGAATACGCTCTACGCAAAAATATTAGAGCGGTCCGTCTACGCTCTACGTAGAATTAAAACGGCCGATCATTACGTAGAATTAAAACGGCCGATTACGCTCTACGGAAAAGGGCTTGCGGACCCCTTTGATCAGTTTATACTAGTCGGATGTCTAAACATGCATGAGACGGTGCAGCGTTCGCCGCTTCCTGTTATGAACAGTGTTCCGTGGGTAGATGCAACGTAAGATAAACAACGTTACCAGTTCTGTACAAGGAATTACTACATGCACTGTGTGGTTCAATGATTGAACTTCCTTGTTATATATATAATATGCAAGCAGATCTTTCGGTGGTCGCAAAAGACAGTATCAAATTGGCCAGACAGTATCCATTGACCACCCGATTGGCTAATGGACACTTCTCTGGCCAATGGATACTGCGTTGCCGCCGTATGATCTGCTTGGAGATTACCTCCTTGGTACATGCTAGCTGTAAACTTTCGTGGAGTGACATGTGTACACACTTTCAATCATTTTACACATGGGATTAGCCTGTAGCCTCTACCAGGCTTTAGGAAGAGGTTGGAAGGAGAAGAAACAAATGGGCCGATAACATGCCAGGGGTGTTGGTTCTCTAAAGGGAGTACAGCTTGCTACTCTTTTAGCGGACAACCTCTCCTGATGATGTTATCCGTTTACTGTGTGGCCAATTTCTACTCTTTCTAGCCGCCTCTGAAGCCTGTTAGAGGCTATGTTGTTCCCGAGCTTGTATTCCAAATTGCTCGCTACCCGCTAGACCAACTTCGCACATGTCAACTACTCTCCAAGCAAAGTTTTTTTACACAAAGGAATACGCGCATGCCTTCGCTATTGTACGGACGCGATCATCATCACACCAACAGTGGAACCGGTAACAGACGAAGTACGCCGCCGCCAGGCTTAGAAAAATCACAGCACTTGTACCTATCGGCTACGGTAGGGTCTGTAGCCTCTACCAGGCCTCGGGATGTGGCTGGAAAGAGTAGAAATTGACCAAAAAGAGAGAAGCTCGTAACATGCCAGAGGAGTTGGTCCGCTAGAGAGTTCCGCAAAATGTACTCTCTAGCGGACCAACTTTTATCTCTCTAACTTTGACCAATTTCTCCTTTTTCCAGCCGCTTCTGAAGCCTGGTAGAGGCTAGGTTCTGCACTAATCCTCCCAGGTACCGTCATCGCACCAACAGTGGAACCGGTAACAGAGGAAGTACGCTGCCGCCAGGCTTAGAAAAATCACCAGTACCTATCGGCTACGGTAGGTTCTGTTCTACAATCATTCAAGGTGCCGTCGTCGCACCAACAGCGGAATCGGTAACAGTGCAACTTGTACCTATCGGCTACTGTAATAAGGCCACACTGATTTAATTTTATGGATGACATCCTCTGAAGACCGTCAAACTAGTGCGCGCGGGCGAATAAAAAACATTCCGGCCCAAAATAAAAATGCTACTAAGCCACAGGAATACAAAGCTGGTATTGTAAATTCGCGGCAGTACTTAGCGACGTACATACGACAAGACGGCACATGCTGGCTTTTGCGGAATTTATGAATCGGTACTGAGTTCTTGAGTCGTGGAGCTTCGATAGCCTGGGTGCTCGGCTCCGTTTTGTCGCTAACTACCCAGGCCTAGAGCCAGGCCAGAGCCTCGGTGGACGTAATCTTTTTTTTTTTTTGAGGGCGACAGGCGAAAATCAATGCGCGCGCGGATGTCATCCATAAAATAAAGTCGGTGTGGCCTAATCCTCCCAGGTGCCGTCATCACACCAGCAGTGGAACCGGTAACAGATGAAGTACGCCGCCGCCAGGCCGAGAAAAATCACCAGCAGCGGCCAGAACAGCGCGTGGAACACCGCCCACCTGTCGCCGAAGACCACGGCACGGGAGACCTCCGCGTCGCTGGCGGGATCGTAGAAGCAGGGGAACCGCTGGCCCGCAGTCCCCCAGGACTCCTGATAGGCCAACACGTCCTCCACGTTGTCGTGAGCTGACTTGTCACACGGCCGAACGGCACACTGTGAAAAAAAGACAATTATTTCGTTAGAGGCATCCAATGCGATTTCAGGCCAGCAAAACTGGAAATACAAGTATTCTGAATAAGATAATCTTTGTGATATTGTCACATACTGCTTCACATCAGCACATTTGAGTCAATATTTCATACTTTGGGCTTTTAAAACTGCAGAAACAAGCCCCAAGATGAGTCCTTTATTTCCTGGGGGGGGGGGCTAAAAATCATCCACGGGAACTTCCAGTGACCATTTTCCGTCAGGTAAATTTTGCTCCATCAGGGTCAGAGTTGTTTCAACCCAGTATGTAGATAAATGACTAGAATATACATGTAGGCTTTGAAAAATCGGGTTTTCAAGCCCTAAAAAGTGCACTGGATGCATTTAACAAGCCATGGCTGATGACAGCATCTAAATACGTTTACAAAATATACATTTCCAGTTATCACATGTTATAGCATGTAGTTTCCAGTTATAACATGTAGGAAAGGACTATCACGAAAGTTCATCTTAACCGCGACGGGGGCTGACGTCGTCTACCAGATACCAGTGTTGACGTCACACTTCAAAGAAGCCACGTGACAAGCTTCACTCGGTCAGTCTACTGAGGAAGACCAGAGTGATTGGTCGAAAGCTCTTGGTGAGAGAACTTCTTTGTGTTGGATCAAGAGTTTTAACTTTAAACACGTAGAAAAGGAATTTTGTTTCTCCTGTGCACCCGGGACTTTTTTACCCTCGAGCGGGGGAGTGTTCTTTCATTTCTCTTTAAGAAAGTCCAACTGCATAACGTTAAATAATATACATGCATAACGTTAAATAATATACATGCATAACGTTAAATAATATACATGCATAACGTTAAATAATATACATGCATAACGTTAAATAATATACATGCATAACGTTAAATAATATACATTCAATGTTAGAACTTAGAAGGAATGTAGTACCGGTGGCGTCCGCCCAAACAAGTCCTGAGTGTTCACCAGTAGACTTCTGTGGCTTGTTGTGTTATGAGGCTTCGTTTGCCCCATTTCGGGACTTCCGCTAGTCGTACCGTTACTTCCTTTCTCGTCAGAATACAGCACGCCGATCTGTAAGCACGGAAAAGTTGACCGGCAGTTCCTGCCCAGCGGGCATTTGCAGGTCACGTCCGCGCCTAGGGTGGAGTTCGTTACCTTTGATAAAATGAAATACCTTTATTGTACATTCATGCCACGACGGGCTAGGTACAGGTCAAGACTTAACAGACACAGTTCCGAGATGTCATACCTCCATGAAATATGGGCTTGATACGTAAATTTATTCTTTATTTATGCAAATGACCTCTAGTCTAAAAGGCGTTATGAAGTTATGCTGACTACAAATATGCGGAAACACAAACACACACACACACACACACACACACACACACAGAGAGAGAGACACACCAAAAACAATACCTCCATTTTTCATGGAGGTAACAAACGTATATAAAAAAAAGTGGAGACACTATATATAGCTACTTGACTTATAATACAAAGTGTTCTAGTTACTTTGACTTTATTGGGATTCACATAGTTACTGAACTAATACAGAGTGGTCAACTCCTTCTCGCTTTTTTGTACAATGGAAAATGTGGGAACAGATCATGTTTGTGATACAGGGTTTGTCTAGACGCATAAAAAAAAACATAAATTTATCGTTACCGTGCACACGGCCTCTCGGAGGCGAAGAGCCGTCAGGGCGGGCCTGGCCACCACGACGCCAGCGACAATCAGTCCAATGGCGCCCAAGACCGGGACGAACGCTAGGGTATAGACGCAGCCTCTCTTGCAATAGCTATAGTCCCAGTCGTCAGAAGCCATGGTTACTTACAGTCTGGTAAGTCCGCTTTTGAAACTTTCGTTGACGGTTTCGGCAAACTCAGCTAGCTTCTACCAGGCTTCAGAAGCGGCTGGAGTGAGTAGAAAGTGGCCAAATAGACGGATAACATATGCCAAGGAATTTGGACCGCTACTTAAAAGGAGTAACGGTTACAGCACTAGTTTGCTGCTCCCAATGGCTAGTCTTTTACGGACTTACTCGTACACACAGCAAAGGGGAACAACCTTCGGCTGTGGCTGACACCCATAGCCTGGTATCCAGTCTGATCGTGATTGGGGGTATTGGGGTGTTTAGGCAGGTTGTGTCTTCGGGGCCTCTAAGAGCTTCCCCCGCCCAGTGCAACAGACCGTCCCGATAGGAGTGTTACGCTAATCAGAGACAGTATGATACACACCGGGAAGCTTATGTGAGGCGGGTGGGACAGAGCTCTTGCGGCCCCGACCACGAATCAGACTGGATACCAGGCTATGACACCCAAGGCAAGGGGAAGGAAGGAACAGTTAGAAGGAGAACGGAAATGGCGATGCAGTAGTCCCGTGAGTCGTGCTGACTTTAGTAACATTTCCTGCCAGGTGACGCGAAACAAACCGCTGCGGACATCGACCCCGGAAGTAAGTACTCCCCAAGCAGAGGTTGTGGGGGAATGAGCGTTACATTTTTATATATGGTAGTTTGTTGTTTTTTTTTGTCCTGACCCCCACCACCCGTCGGTGGCTGCGGACCTCCTTCTCTAGCTATTGGATACTGCCTGGCCAATTTGATACTGTCTTTTTGCCACCGAGAGGGATCTGCTTGGAGATTAGGAAGTAAGTCCCCGCTGCTTCTCCGCGACCTCGAT